TAAACAGAACTATTACAGTATATGTACAAGATTTACTATATTATGTTAATAAGTGTAGTCAACTGGCAACACCGCTGCAGCCCGAAAGACTGCAGCGGTGTTGAGCTGAAATTAATGGTTTGTGCTCTACAATTATATAATTATTATATCATGCCTTAATATACAAAAGTTTTAGGTGCAACCAAGATATAATTACGATTTTTAAAAATATACACATTCGAGAATATACTTTTACATTTCGAAGTTAATGGTAGATATAGATATAGTACATGTTCAAATGGGAGATCTACTCGTACGAGAAATGCTCTTTCTAGTGTTAACCAAATTGGCCATTGTTTTCGTTTTTAAAATACATGAACAAATAATACAACTTATGATTTCGAATATTGCAAAATATCAAATTGTTTGCTATGTCGCTAGAATATGACAAGACAGTGCAAATAAATAGACAGTTATTAGCAGTATGTTAGCATTTCGCAAAATTAAATTATATTTATAGCGTTTCTTGTTCCCGTTCTCATTACAGCATTACAACCACAAGACATCCAGCAAATTATAAATGCATGTGTAGTCATTATAAAAAAGGTTCATATTTAAATGATCGTTTAAAAAATAGTAATGATCCTCAATAAAATACAATTGGTAACCTAACTTTTTAGTTACCAATTGTATTTTTAGGTGATCATTTTTTTATTATTTTTTTGAGGACCTTTTAAATATTTCTCTATAAAAATACCTTAGTCTTGATAGGAATTTGTATCTTTACTATAATTTTCTAATGAAGAATTCCATAAATCAATGGCATACACAGAATACTTATGTTGACCACATCATACATACTACAATGGTCATCATTGTATTTTGCCAGAGTAGGAGCTATTCCAGTCTGACTCAGCCAAACGCAGGGGTCTCAAATAATTAAAGTGTCAGAGTAACGCATATCAATAACATTCTAATGCCAGCACTTCACTTGGCTATTCGTATACGCAATTTGTGAACTTGACAACAGTCTGTCCTTATCATGATATATAAGGAATGAAAAGGACCGACTGATGTAAACTTTACAAATAGCAAACACGAATAGCCAAGTGAATTACTGGTAAACATGTTTTTAACTTTGTTTTGAATATATATATAAAACTATCACTTTACCAGTACGCAACAATTTCTATTAAGCGTTACAAAAGACTCGAGTCCTTCAACTTAAAAGTATAGTTTTAGAGGGATTTTTTTTTTTGTTAAACATAAGTTGTTTCTAAACATTAAAATTTTGAGAAAATCAATTTTGTCATCAAATATGTAGTATTATAAAAAAACTTAAAGGGCACTTAGTTATTGAATAATTTGGCCATCATAACTTTGACCGATATCTAAATATCGGATGCTCATATTATACTAATTGATTAGAAGGTAAAAAATTCCGAGAAAATGTTAACAACGTTTAATAAAGTCAGCCAAACGACTCGAGTATTTTACAATATCAACAACTATTATCATTTAGTATAAACATGATATTCTCTTAAAGCTTGCCACGTGTTATACAAACTGATGGAAAAAATAAAACAGTGTAAATGAAAATACCAATTGCAAACAAATGAATTATTGTACAAAAACATGCACGTATCATTTCAACGTTAAAATGACATAGGAATTAATATATTCGATTTGGCACAAATCAATAAGGCTGCATACATAAATAATTATAGGACAAGACATATCTCAAATCAATGGAATTTGTTAGTGTTCTTCATAGAGTAAAGTTCTAAATATTTTGTACTTGTTATGATTCTGCATTTAAAAACGTGATCCTTACAATATAATTAATTATTCTTATGATAATGTGAAATTAAACACTTACACACGAATTTATAACCTTTTAACAATGAATAACCCCACATTTCGCTTCGTTCTACAGCTCTGTGTATAACATGAGGAACTCACCTCTCTTTTACTTTCTCGATAATTTGTTTATTATCATTCGTCTCTCCTGTTCCCAATTTATTTAGAGTCGTTATATACTAAAATATATTTTCATTTACACATTTTGGAATATATGTTAAAAAACCAGTATAAAATAGTACGGAAGCCAATTAAATCATAAATGCCAATAGAAATATCACATAAATATTTAATAAAAGAATTATCACGTGTCATTCTAAGCTCAGCCCCACTATACAAGTAGTATCCCATAATACAAAGTTGTTAAACCTTTGATTCCAATGGGACCATATATCAAAAGACAAGGGTACTGTAATCTGATAATTCAAATGCCATGAATGTGTGAAAATCGTTTTGTTTCTTAACAAACATGTCTTCTTCCTAAGGTCATATCAGACGTAGGTATTGAGATAACATTGGTATTTAGGACATACTCATATTCCACATAAAACCTACAGTAGCATATTTAATTTTGTCACTATCGTATTGTATTAGTAATCACATTATAAAAATACAATTTTCCGTAGGGAAAATAACACTAAACAAATAAGGGCTGTGCTGTCATATAAGAAAACATGTTTTACAAAAAATTTCACTGACCACAATTATCATTTGTACACCATGAATTCACCTTAACAATTATGACAAATCCTGCAGAAGAGCAATAGAAAAATAAACAGACACATTTTATCGACTATATTGACTATTATAAAATATACTCTTAAGATACAATTTACCATAAACTTTTAAAATAAAGTATTTGCACAGACAACAGTTGTAAAGTGTTTCGTCAGCAGTGGTCAGAGTTCGATGCATAGTCTCGTACGCGACGTGCGAACTCTTTGTTGAATTCTCAGAACAAGAACTAAAGCATAGAAAGAGTTTAAATACTTATCATTTCCTTAGTTTTTCCCTATAGTTTTCTCAGACGTGAGTATTTTTGCTCTGTTCGTTACTTCCCAATACCCCAAAAAAGAACGATTCTTCCTTGGCTTTTTTTTAATAAAAATTTAATTAATTGATTAATCTCAATAAATTCTAGTTCATTTTAAACACCACGAAACGTACTCTCTGTATTTATAATTTTGATAGTTGTAAGTTTTAGTTTTTTACTTTTTGAGATAATCAAATCAGAGTTCCGTGGTAGCCTGTGGCCCAGTTTATTTGCAGTCGAGCGTATTATCTTATTTATATATACAGCAAAAAAAGGGACAAATGTATGTTGCTGTGAACCATACTATGAATAGCGTGCGTACTGCTACACAAACGTCAAATCTGATGCCATGGTTACCTTTACGATACCGAATCAAAAATGTCAAATACAACCTGCCAGCACGCCACTATAGGTAAACCACTATTTTTTGGTTGGGTAATACTTTCCTTGAAAATATTTTCGTTAATCTATAGTCTATGGGAACGTACGCTCAAACTTCATAGCATAACTTCTATGCTTTATCCCTTGTTCTGAGGTTGAATTGAACAACATAAAACATATTTAAGTATGACAGAGCGCTAAGACACTTCTCATACGGTTCGTCGGGTATACGTAGCGCCATTTTGCACTTAATAAATACGCAAATTTTCAATATCGTTACAAAAAATTTAACATCTCATGAAATAAATATGCTGTTATATTATGTATGGATGTGACAAAGTGAATGCGCTAAATAAACATACGCGACAAATAGCATTCAAATAGCCTTAAGATGTACCACGCGTATCGTACGAGACTGCATACTTACCCTCACAAAGTGTTTTGTCTACATAATTATTATACTCATATATCATTCAATAATGTCACTCAATCGCTCACTCACAAATACACACACGCTCACGTTCATACACTTTTCATATTCAACAACAATGGAAGAGTCGTCAGAAGCCCTGCGTTTCTAGAGAATAATATATGTAGTTAAATGTAAAATAATAATTTTTTGCACTAACAAACGGCATACAAATGAACCGTGTTTTGCAAAAAAATTTCAAACCAATAAAAACTTACGTATAGAAATTTGAACAGCTAGAAGTACAATGTAATGAAAATCGGTTTTCTTGCCCATTTGCCACAATTGAGGTCATTTTTATACATTTAACAACAATGAAACCAAGTCAACTAAGGGTTTGGAAAATTTTTGTAGAACAAGGTTCGTCAGCTACTAAGTAAGTAGTTCATAAAATATGACTTTTGTGTTTGAATACAATATATTTATGTGGCACTAGGAGACCACGCGGCTTCCACCACCGCGTCGGTCTTTGTCCTCACAGAGGAAACATATGGACAACACAACACTATATATTCCAGAAATTATATCTTATAAACGCAATATATAAAAATAGTCTAAGTAAATTCGAACGGACACAAAATGCATAACTTAATGGAAGATACTCAGGAATGCATTTCAATTAGCGTATCCATAATCTAAATACGTTTATCGTCAACGAACTTATAGGAGAATTGACTTAAAATATGTATACAGTATAGAGAAGTCAAGAAGTCAGCGCAATTATTCACTCGGCTGCGAAACACCATTCATTCACAACGTAACAGACAACTCATCGCGTGCACCACTAACAATATTACAAGTCATTTCAAAAGGTGTAAAAAAAGTAGCAGCGTGCGACACAACGTCTCACGCGCTGACTTCACGCTCATATTTAAACACCTCAACCGAAAGGCTCATAAGACGCGGCGAAATAAAAAATCTTTATTAACACGGACCTACCTCCGATTTCACTTCGCAACTGAAGCGACGGCGTCATTATCAAAGTGATGGTCCTTCGAGTCATTCTGAAATGGGGACTTCACACGGTACGCCGCTACCATTCGGAATTCGAATATTGATACCGATTCCCATTTTCACCACGCGAGAAGAACCGAGGGTCTTCCGAATTCAAACTGAAGTTTCGAAACGTGTCGTTCCATATTCAAATTGTCACTACGAGTCCAGTCGGAGGAGGCCGCATCCAGTCGCGCGCCGGCAGTCAGCGCGTGCGGACGGGGGCGGGCCGGGGCCTCAGGCGGGGGGGTGGGGGTGTTGTTTCGGGCGCGGCGTGAAGAACCGTCATTGGGGCGTGTCTCGCGCGGCGCTCCAGCGGTCGAACTCGATGCCGGAGTCGGGGGATGCCCCTATCCCCGCCACTACCCCTGGGGCCCCGGGATGTCCCCGGGCCGGGGCCCGCGCACTGTCCGCGCCCACGCCCGAGTCGGGCGCTCGCATCTCACGCACGCCCAGCTCCTCCAGCACCTGGGACCAAAGTACCCGCAGTTGTAATATTAAACTGTGTGGAAACGCTCGCGGCTTTACGCCGTGCACGCCCCGCCTACGGTGTTGTACTGTTGTCGATAGTGGTGCGCTTCTCACTTTAATTTACATTGCGACAAGGATCTGTAGGAGTGTGAGTAACAGTACAAGGAGGGCGCCCCTGTCTACGTAAATGACATGATAAAAAAATTACGTTTACAAAGACGGCGGCGTTAGTTCAAATTTTCGCCACATTAATAAAGTTCCTTGTCGCACTATACGGCTGTGAATATGATGGCACTAAATGCTCTATATTTGTATTATAAATTGCGTGCACAACTGATACTTCCAAAGCTACCAAATCTAGTGGAGATTGAGTAGATCTAACAATTTTAGGGTGTGTTTATATTTGAATATACACTAGACCAGGCTGCTGAAGCAAACAGGACCAATAGCTTTAATTTTGAAGAAAGGAAAAACATCAAAGTACTTTAAACTTTTAACCGGAGGCCCAAGCACTAATTTTGTTAGCTCCGTAATCGTATCACATTGTCAAAGTTTCTATGAAAAGTAATCAAAACCCCTATTGAACGTGAAAAAGAAGAGCTATCCCAAACAAAATTTGGTGTTGACGATACGATTACAGATCTGTCAAAATTCATGCTTTGGCCTCAGATGACAGCAGCCTTTACGGAAACTGCTCAACCTCACGAAACCATCTAGCTAATCATACGCGCACCACTCTCCAAAAAAGCACTAAAATAAACACATCAAGATAAAAATCAGAAAACCCCCGTAGACGCAGCGTTGCAGGCGTGTCGTGTGTAGTAAGAGTGCAGACCTTACTCAGGCTGGCGGAGTGGTCGTGCAGTCCCAGGTCCCTCTCGAAGGAGTGCAGTTGCCTCATGAAGTGGAAGTTGGGCGCGATGTCAGTCTTCCTGGAGCGGACCAGTTCGAACGCGTCCCGTAAACTAAGCCGGTGTCGCTGCATGAGGTAGGCCAGCGTCACCGTCACAGAACGAGACACTCCTGCCACGCAGTGTACTAGCACGCCGCAACGAGCCGACATCGCCTCCTCTGTTAAATAGGAGACCAGGTGTGAAACTACGCTTAAAGAGTCTTTAACTAAAGATATAAGATATAATAACATTTTTCCACATTTGGGTTAGAACGCGTCGCGGACATCGCCTACTCTGTCGTAAAGTTGAAATGTGAAAAAACAAAAGAAAACATAGAACCGAATACACTTGAATAGATTAGAAAAGAGAGGAAGATAGAAAAGTAGAAACAAATGCATTAGCGGATCGGTAAGGAGGACAACATAAAAAAATATATTTTGGTTAGAAAGGAGGAGGAGGTAAAACATAATGAAAGATCTAAATAAAAAACTAGAACTAGAACTAAATAATAAACGAAATTTGTTGATAGATTAGAAAGGAACAAAAAGCAGAATTAAAAGTATTTGTGATATGATAGAAAAAGTAGAATCAGATCATTGACAACTTAAAATGGTAATAAAGATACAATAAAATTCGTAAATAGATTAAAACGAAAGAAAAGATACAATTAGTTTGAATGGTGTATTAGAGTGGTAGAAAAACAAAAAGATTAAAACAGAACTAAAGATAACACGAAACTCGTCGATTAGAAGAAAACGTAGACTCATAACCATGGCTAAATCAGAATGGAAAGTAAAATCAAATGCATTGATTTCCATGAGCTAAAACCATCTTCTTGTCAATAATAATGTCAGAATATGTATACTGTCCCCTATTCCATCCATAGGGATGGCCAGTGCCCTAGAAATAGGGACATTGATAGGCTGATGATGATATATTGTTTTAAAATTTCATGGTCACACATTATAGTAATTTATGTTCTATACGGGATTGCCACCACGCACCTTGTTAACTGAGTTATTCCGTGATCGTGACGCTCGTAACAGTGGCAACAGATCGGGGACTCGCTTAAAACAAGGAACATGGTAGCTATCCCGTAAGTAACATAAATTGCTGATGAAAATGTATACCGACCTATAAACCGTATGGCCTGGGGGAAGTGGACAGCCAGGTTCTGACTCCAGTGGTCGGCGATGGGTATCTTCAGGTAGTTTATGCCGCAGCCCTCCGCCTCGAACGTATTCGGGAGGTCGGGCGTCACGTTTAACACGTACTGGAAACAACAGAAAAGCTAATTTTAATAAAATTGCCACGAACAAGATGCTATATCAAAAGCAAAGATAATGACAATAATGACCATGAAATAAACTATCCATGAAAGATAACGATATGAACCTAAGATGAACCGGACGAATAATTCTTATAAAATATGTAAAAAAAAACCTAGTTAATAGCACACGGAATCAACGGGTATATGTGAGGACTGTGATACGATTATATGTGAGTTATGAACTAATTAAACATAGCAAGTCGAAATTGAACTCTATGAATTGTTGAATGACCCCAACGATATTAAAAAATATCTTTGATGAAACCCAAGTAGGCACACCGGCACACAAGTTACTAAATAAATATAATGAATACAGATATCATCAGGATTCCAGACAGGGCTTTGAAATTATGATAACTATAGCAGTAAATAAAGACAATGGACCCTCCCAATCTAGATAATTCAAGCATAGTTTAGTTGTATTTCTTACAAAAACCTAATAAAAAATTCACGGAAATGATACAAGGCGCGGTTCCATGTAATCCAGACTGCGGGTCGCGCGCAGAATTCTCCGAACACGCGTCACGTAGCCGCACGATGCGTGATTCATTTTGCTTAATTTTCTGGTTCCACAAGCAACTACAATGTAGCGATCGAATTTCAAAATCCAAAACAGGGTATAAAGAAATGACAGGAACGAGGAAGAACACTGATACAATGGTGTGAATCACGAATTCCTGAAGTCCATATTCATAAATGATATGTTGTTGTGTTGGTGTTAATCATTTACGTAAGTTTAGTATGAAAAAACTTTAAAATAACAATGGTCTAGTCATTATTTATGTAGTCTGAAGTTATTTATAATCCTGATAATTTTATATATTAAAACAAAACTGAACGCATGGATGTGTTTTTGTTGTTTTTCTACAATACATGTTTGTTACCACAGTTTGTTACTCGATCAATCACTTCGAAACCGGTGCCCGGACTCAGATAAGATTTTATACTTGCCTAGATAACTAGATTATAAAAAGAATAGAATAATTATCTAGTCGAGGTTTCGAGACTACGCTGATAGCATTACACGGAAAGGTTAAATAAGTTATTTACTGCAAACCACTTTCAGAGTGTGACCAATACTTGTGTGAATGCGCCAGAGATACTAAATTATCCGCAAATTTAGTAGAATCGTATGAACTGAATCAAATAGCATATAGTGTCAAATCAGACAGAAAACGAGTACTACTTCCCGTTTCGAAATTCCAAGAAAATGGTGACAGCAATTAGCCGGGACACAATTTGCTACACAAAAAGAACATACTACTAACATACCACACAAACAATATATAGCATGTTCACATCAATAACATAATATTATGCCGTGCGAGTGCGTCGCTGTTGGTGGAGTTGCCGAGGTAGAGGTTGAGCAGGATCTCTATGGGGAACTCTTGGGGCACGTGCGCGTGCGACTCGTCGCTATATAGTGAGGTATGATGGTTAAATCATTACCTTTATATTATGCCTGGCGAGCGCGTCGCAGTCCTCGCTGTTGGTGGAGTTACCGAGGTAGAGGTTGGGCAGGATCTCTATGGGGAACTCCTGTGGCACGTGCGCGTGCGATTCGTCGCACTCCGAGGAAGAACCCGACGACAGCGCCTCCTCGCACCCCGAACCAGAAATGCGGAGCGACCTGCGAAATGTAAAAGACCGATTGAATACGACAAACTCTGAAAATCAGAAACTGGTAATTTAGGGATGTGATTGTATGTTGGGTCAATAAAAAGGTAGATGGAGAAAAAAAGAGCCTATGTATGAAAGTTTCGATGTAGAAACCGAGGACTAAAGTAGTTTGTTATGGACGAGATTTGAGAATTTTTTGGATATGACAAATTGAATGTGTTTGATGGATAGCAAGAAGATCACCGCAAGCAGGAGAAATATTAATAGGAGAGGAGGGGATTGTTGCTGTTTTGCCAAAAAGCATGAAATCGAAAAATTTTATTAAAAAATCGAGTTGGTGTTAAATTTTTCGCTTTTGATTTTGTAAGTAAGCTTAATACCAAACAGAAGACAGCGACAAATTGTATTCATAAAATTCGAATGCCTCGGCGATCAGTTGTGAATAGGACAGCACGGCAGATCGAATTTCGAAACAACCATGAAAAGATCAGACATTTTCTTTCATGCAATTCGATCCCATACAGCAGTCACCGTCACTTTAGCTGCCACATTTGATCTTTGAACCTATCAATGTAACGGAGAAACCCGATTCTATTGTAGCTGTGTATGGTGAATGTATTTTTAGTTCCCCAATGTTCAAAGTGAGTTAAAGGCAAAATTAATTAATTAAAAATCTTATTTACAATTCGAATAAGACATGAGCTCCTTGGGAATAAACTTTGCTTAATGTAAAAACGGTCGCTAAAGCTATCGATAAGTATGTCGATATATAGGTGCGACAACGTGATTACACTCAGTATAATGATGCCGCCCACCCTCGTAAAAGAATTACTCTCATCAAGCAAGGCGCGTGTGGGCGTAGATTAAAAGAAAACCAAATAATCGCAATTCGCAGATAAAATTATATTTCTTTCACGGAACATTAATTAAAACCTGATCTGGTGCTGGCGATACTTTTAATATGTTATTTTGTTCTAGTGCAGACTAAATTTAGGGATTTGGAGTTTTGCATGTTGCAAAGTAACTAATATTTGGACAATTTGTAAGATGAATAACGACCAGGATAAGGTTACATAGGTTTGGAAGCTTTAAAAATTTCAAAGTTTATCAGTAAAATGATAAATTGATATGCACTCAAAATTTCAATAAAGTTCACGATCAATTAATAAGTAGTTTTCTGCCTCAGATTTATTCTCATAACAGTGTATGGATGGATGAAAGTTATTACGCCGCCGCCGTCCCGTGCCACAGAGCTCGCAGATGCGTTTCGCTCGGCTGAGCCTTCCCATGGATTTATTGCCGTCCTTGTCGTCACACTTGTGCTTCCTCTCACATTCGTGGAAGAAGTGTTGGCTTGAAAAAAGCTCACCTCTAAATTTTAAATAAAAATAAAATACATGATTTGGTCAAGCTACATATTATTATTACTGTCTCAAAAAAAAAAAAAAACATGCGACCAACTAAAGTTGTAAATGTAAAGTTATTTAAACATGGCATTACTACTTAAAAGGATGAAACCCATTGCCCCACCCTGGTGAGAAAACAATCGCAGTACATTTTTGTGTTATTGTAAACTATTCTGAAATAAGCCATTGTGAAAGCAGCCAGTGCTAAAGAGTTGGCGGGGCTTTCATGTTCGGGGCTCAATGCTGGAGGTCGGGCGGGGCGGGCGGGCGGAGGCGCAATCGATCGCGGCTGCTCAATGGGACGGGAGGGGGCGCACCATTCACCTGCCCCCGCCTCAATGGCCGCCTACACAGCGTCCTTACTCACTTTACACCACCCCCACCCCCCAGCGCGCTCGCTCGCCGACCCCGACCAACGCTTCTCCTCCCACGCGACACTTTTCCAAATTCGCCCTCTCAATCGTCTCGCCGCCATTCAACTTGGTGTTTTGAAAGCAATCAAATTAGGAGCGCCCCTGTCGAGTCGCCAGCGTGTTTATAACTCGGCGCCCACGCCGTCGCCGCTGCGTACAGGAACTCCGCTTGACGGACTTCACCCGACTTCGCAACACTTTACCTTGTGACTTGCCGACCGATCGCGAAGTGGTGACTTAAGGTATGACACGAATATCTGTTTTATATATGAATGAAGAACTTACTGAATGAAATAGTGTTTGATTCTGTTTAATAATAATTATTTGAGCGAAGGACTAATTGCGTAATTTTAACTCTTTCCGCAATACCCCTCGAAGCTATAGCAGGTTTCAATTGGACATACGCTAATATCTTTCCATAATATGAAATGAATGCTTGTCAGCCTGCCACCTTCACGTACACCGGGAAAGCGATACGCATCTAATCTAAGCTATTAAATATAGTCTTATTCCAATTAACTACCAGTTACCTTCAAGTTAAAACATACGCTTATATAACTGGAGCATGAATACTTTATGAATTCACAATATTAAAATAAATTGCAACTTACCTTAATAATAAATTTAATTGTAGGCAATAAAGAACAAGCATGAGTGACAAAGACTCGTGTAGGTATTTGTAAACGCTATTTCTCCATCAGTCCAATTTCATTCATTGCTGGAATGTCAGGATTTAACTTGTATAAAAACAAGAAATCGAGCACATCGTTCCTCTACAGAATAGTGAGTGCTACAGCCTACTGTTAATAATGGCTTATTGTGCCTTTTAAATACAGAGGAACTCGAGATGATTACTTGAAGGATGTAGGGCATCCGTTGACCAGTATCTCAGACAGTAGACTGATCAATCATGGCTCCTTTTTCCATCTCCCTTATTGCTTCGTCATAAAAGCACAATACAATCCAAGTCCACTTGTCATCATCATCGCGCATTTATGAGTCTACACAAGCAGAAGTGAAGAACATTTTTATTTTAAATCAATTCGCATTTGAGCGTGTGCCGCCACTTTGACTTTTACAGTCACTGAATATTTTGGAAAATTGCTTACTATTTTATCATTATTTGCAAAAAAGTTCATTACAACAGATCTTACTCCATGGTTCGCTTTTTGTAATCGCTTTCAACATTGAACGAATTTTCCATATCTACCTATCTGAGTAAGTAAAATTGACAATATTCCGATTAACTGTAACATTGCTCTGTAATTAAAGTAATATACATAAGAGCATTGTTTAGGAGTTTTGCTTGCTTTGATTTGAGTTTGGAAACAAAGAAACCTCTTATCATTAAGAAGACATTGTTAAAGTCTGCTTCTTTCTTGAGGTTGAAGTGCAAAATTCTTGCACTGTTCAAACTAATTAGTTGAATGGTCATCTAGATAATGATTCGGTTGTCAGGGAACGTGGGTCGCAGGTAGTATGCGGAGTGCGGCGGCGGGCGGCGTGGGCTGCGACGCGTGGGCGCCCATTTGACGCGCCCATTCAGGGAGCCTCGCCCACGTACTACGCCATTCTCATCTGATAATTCCATCAACCCGTATTTATTTAGTTCGATTTTCAACGTTCACGTGGGTGAGCTCATTCCGTTACGCAAGTTTCGATCGCACACAGTCATGTCATATCGCCCGTATTGGTGCCTCGTCACCGTTTACAACGTGACGCCGTCATTCATAAGAATGCCGCTAGAACAATGAGAGCGGACGAGCGGCAGGGTATTGTGTGCCATCGGTTTCGTGCGATTCCAAGTGATATTTGAATGGCGAATAACGAGCGAACGCGATCGGGCGGCCACCGGAAGCCGTGACACCGTCGCTCGCGTTATTAATGAAAGACCAGTATGTATGGCCGCTGACGCTTCGCCGGCTGCTCAACGAAGAGCCTGGGCGAGGTCGAAACCGGACGGGCGCAAGGGTCTAGGTCCGGCGGCCGCGCGCGGTGCGTGTGGGCGTCGAGTGCGTGCCGTGCGCCCGCGCACAGGAATGCAGGCCGACCCACCCGCTGCCAATGACCGCCAGGGACGGTTTTTTAATGCCCGACTCGTTAGTTCCCATCCTGGCAGGACTTTTAACGACCCGGCTAGCTCGAACAAAGGAACGTTTATTTATACCGTGGCTTGCATTCTGACGGCACTGTTTCTACTCCGTAAACGAACTGTTTAACAGGGAACGTTATGATGTTATTGTATTTAGCAAGTGTGTCGAGGTCGGAGCCGGTAGAACATGGCTCTACACGTATATAGGATCATATTACCCGCATCTATTTCGAGTCAGCGAGCGTTAGCTTAGTCTCGCTTAACAACTCAGTTACATGCCAAGGACTCTTAAATAATGGTTATAGTCTGTTTTTTAATGTCAGAGACAAAAATGACATTACCTGTGTTGCCGGTTTATTGCAGTTCTTAAATAGTGATGTACTAATATCGGAAATTAACGCTCATACAATATTTAGTATCGTTTATTTTATTTATAAGAGTTTTAGAAAGCATTATCGGAACCGGATTCCCAGTTATTTATATTCCAAGTCAGGTAAATGCCTTCCAGAGAATATAGGTAGTGATAAACAAGTCTTAATAGTTAATGGCCACGAAATGCTAACCATTTTATTTATACCATGTACCTGCATTACTGCACACAATCACTTACAATATTATTAACAAGAAGAGATTTGAAGTTCATAATAAGATAAGCATATTATACTAATCAGATATGAATTTTCTGAAACGTCATCATCAGACTCGGCATCTATTACTATAATAAAAGTTTGGTAATGTCGATTATAAGGACCCAAATAACCGTCAAATAAAAAAAAAATAAAAAACCGATATCGCGGCTACAGCACTACGTAATAAAAGCTGGTATCATTATTTGCAAACTTGACATTTGCATGTGTCATTTTTGTCTCTGAGATTATAAAACAGACTATAGAGCTAATTAAACTTGTACTGTACGTGTTTTAAAAAATACCATAATTAAACTATATCGACAAACCAACCATATGCCTGGTACTTATTTAGCTATAAATCATGTTAACTCTCTACTTTATGTTCAGATACTTTTTTAAAGAATTCATATACCTGTATTTCAATTAATAGTTTGTATCTAATAGTGAGATGATATTTCAACCCTTTAATC